CAAAACAGATTTGTAAAGCAAGTTGGACGGCTTTTGAAGGGAAAAAGTCAATATTTTAAGTTTAGTTCATGAGTTCTTTTCCTTTGTTTTGTCTCTAAGCTTTTGTGTTAAAGGTGAAGGATTTGGGTTGCTCAGACAATTAAGAGCCCATTTTACCAAGTGTAATTTCATATCTGTGTTCTATAAACTGGAGTGCCTTCAGCATTGTAAATAAAAAAATTGCCCTCTATTTAGCATGTTTGTGGGCAGATTAAAAACAGTCTTCATTAGCATAAGTAACACTTACAGATTCTTTTAAAAGTAGAAAATTATTTGCTGAATGATAAATTGCTAGCTTTATAGTTAGTTGCTGAAAATGTGCTCATTCAAAATGCATACTTTAGTTTAGTCTACAATACTCAATTTTTTGAGTTCGAAGTACTGTTTAATGGATTAGTCTTTGTTCACAGTAGATGCTGAAATGCAATTCAACTTTCTGCTAAAATGTTTGTATCAAACACCTCCCTATTTAGACTGATTTCTTCTAACGCCATATATTTTTATTATACTATATGCCCCAGAGACTGATACAAAATAATGTCAGATATGCTATACCAAAGAAAAGCTGTTCACATTTTAGTATTGATAGTGAAAAATGTTTTGCCTTCTTGAATTCAAATTACAGCTCTTTTTTAAAACGTTTGATTCTTTGTTAGTTTTTTGTAACAAATATTAAACATTTGGCAAGTGATCATCGCTATAGCAAATTCACCAAACAAAAGAGTTCAGTTGCTCCACCGTAGAGTCCTTTCTTTCCGGACTTGTTTATTGCTGTCTTGGAAAGCTTTGCCCAGAAAGCATTTTTCATGCTGGTAATGCTACCCTCTTTGATCTAGTTAGAATTGGTATCTACACCTTAAGTGCAGATTTCAATTATCTTTTTTTTTTCTTCTTGTTTAGTAAGAAAGATATTGGAATGCAAGAATAGTTTTTTAGACACTGCATGACAGAGCAGAACATTTTATTTAAACAAAGCTCAGCTCAGACTGAATAAAATAACATTTGGATACATAGATAAAATGCATGTATGCTTTAAAATAAGGGTGCTCATGGGTCGTGCAGACTCTAATGCTTGGCAGTTATCCTCTTTGCGCTTTTCCTGCATTAGTTTGGCAGTTCAGCTTTCACACATTTTTTTTCCTTTAATGTCTTCTGTTTCTTTGCTAAATCCCTATCAGAAAACCAGACAGAAGACTCTTATTTATTTTAAATATCTTAGGTTTAGCATCTTTTTTTTTTTTCACCATTTTCTTGCTTACTGTAGCAAGACCTTTGCAGATGGTACTTGGTTACTTGAAAGTGCATAACAGTATTTTCTTTGTAGCAGATGGATTTAAGACTTTTAGTTCCCAATAAATGTAGGTTTACAATACATAACTTTACAGGATTTGTGTTGTATATAACAGGTTTGAACATATTATCTCAGAATTCATCTGCATGGCATTTTCAGTTTATCCAGGGCCTATGCCAGTATTTTAAGTAATAGGGAGAGCATAGTGATTGATAGCAGCTAAAGGCGTGATTTTGAATAGAAACAAAGGTTTTAGAACAGAAGGTGTCAAATTAAACTTTGTCAGTTTGAAAAGTAGTAACATCCTGAAAGTTCTGCAAACATATTTACATGTGGCTAATGTTTATATTTTGCTTTGTACTCTCTTTATATTCAGTGTAATGTTGCCTGGCAAATTTACTGTGTTTTAAAATCAAGGTTTTTCCCAATGTCATTGCAGAGTTTTGGGGGTTTGCCTTACTGCATAGATATATATGCCTAATTATTTTAAGGCATTTTTAATGTGCTGCTTGCTAAGGAATCTGGTTGTCATCGAATTTGAGTTATAAATATTTTGTTATTATTTTAGTGTCCTTTCTACTTCTTTAAGATTATAAAAACATGAAAAAATACAGTTGTCCGGGCTCTCCTTCAGAATAAATTTTCTTAACTAGATAGAAATTGCTCTAAACTTACAGGTGTGGAAGAGGAGAAAAATCGGCCTTGTTAGGTCCATTTGTGAATTAAACTACAGCGCTTCATTCTTCTATAGATCAAATAGAGGCAAAAGATACAAATTTTGCAGAACTTAAAATTCAGCATTAGAAGAGTCTGTATCATTAGTTTTCCTCAAAGTTACAAAAACATTTTGTACATTTTCATTTAGCTGACTTTTATGAATGAGCTTTATGTTCAATAGAGAAGTCTGAACACAAATTAAATTAAACACAAGAAAACATCCTGGAGTAAAGTTTTCACCCTTTTAACTAAATAAATCTCCAGAGTTTCTGTTACTGCACATTCACCATCTCTTCTAAGATTATTTGTGATATCAACTTTTACAGGCATTTTCAGAAATAAATGAAGTCCAAAAAAATTACTTACTTCCTTGCTTTTAAAAGAATTCACTCTATCATTTCCCTGTTGCCCATCACATATTTCATCAGAATAATTGTTTACTTCTTCAGCAATATGAAGAACAGAGTGGAAAAGAGACATTTTATTAGAGTAGCAGTCTATTCTACACACCGTCAGAAGCAACTGTCTTCAGAATCTGAAAATCAGTGTTTTTGTGAAAGGCTGGCAGAGATTTACTTAATCTTACAGTTCATCAAATCTTTTTTAGATAAAGAATTAGATGCAATTTTTTAGTGCAAAGGCTAATAGAAAAGTATTGGAAATGTAATGCTAGTCATCAGCAACTAGTAAAATTAAGAACTGATCTAGTAAGCGTAGAAACATAGAAAAGACGATATGAGGAGAAGGAATTTCTTAGTTAACAAAATGTTGTGAAATATATTTAATCAGCATAAGCCGTGATTGCTTAGGATTTATTTTATTATTGATCACTTAAAAAGAGTTTCCATCGTCCTTTTCAAAAAGAGCATCTGGGATTCCCGTGGTCACCAGACAAAAGAAATGCAGTTTCTAAATGTGTGGTGCAGTTTCTTCTTAGGTCTGTGAGTATACCTTAAAGAGGTGTTGTCGGAGGGGACAAGTTTTTCACCTGATTGCTGTGGCTGCTCTGCTTTTTGTTTCATCACAATTGGAAAGAGGACAAACAGATTTAATGTGAAGCAGTGCAGACTCCAGACAACCAAACGACTATTTTTTTCTCCTTCACGGCAGACCTTCTCCTTTTTAATTAAAAATTTTATAACCACATTTCAATTAAAATATTTCAATTTTGTTATCTTCATCTTCCTCCCTCCTTCCCCAGTAAACCACCTACGCTCTCTGATTGCACCTTTTAACTTGCTACAGAAAGCTAGTAGTCATATGTTTATTCCCTTGGAAGAATGGCAGGGAGAGAACCACTGCAGCATGTGGATATTGTTAGGGGCATGGAGGGTTTGTGAGTTAACTTGCTAACACATCCCATGGATCCTTATGATGTAGAGGGAGAATTCATGGACACTTACTCCTGTTTTGGAAACATACTGTATGGTTCCATTTGGGACAGCCTGTATATTTTTACAGAATAGCATTTGGCCACATTTCTCAATCAACTTTTTAAACCTGGGGTTAATACCCAGCATATGCATGACCAAAAACTGTAGTCTGCCCCATTCCTGGTTTGGGCCCTACTCAGATTTTTGCCTTCAGATATTGCCAATATTTGTCCTTTATGCTATCTCTGTTTCTTGGGGGCATATTCTCCCGTGTCATTTGTTCACTTTTCCAATTTTATGCAATAGCATATACTTGAAATTTTTATACACACCTCACTAAATATGTTCTCATACAGTATGAACGCATTAAGATTATTTGTTTACTTTCATCTCTTCCTGTCACGGCAATATTTTTACACTGCATTTATTAACTACTAGCTAAAGATATGAATGTCTTCAAGAAAATGACGTATCTATATTGTATCTATGTATCTATTGTATCTAGTAGTAAACTAGTCTGGATAAACCATTTTTCAACTACCAGTACATGTAAGAAGGATCTAAAAGCTTCTGTACATTTATATTATTTGTTGATTCAATAAAATGTCACATTATCTTTCCCACAGCATTAAGAAGTAAAATTGCACAGACCTAGTTTTGAAAACAGATCCTGGAAGCTAAAAGGAAGAAATATGCAGGTTGCATGCATGTAATAGTTTGTTTCAAAATTTTAATATACAAAAATATGCTGATGATGCACACTGTGCTTCATAGCTTGTTTCCCAAAAAATAGCTGGTTTAGGATTGGTGTGCTTTTAGGCATCTTGCTGTTTGGTGACCTGGAAAAGGTATGAAGGGTAAGTCAAAAACATGAGGTTCCTTCATGTCCCCCTCAAGCCCTATGCAAAAATGTGAGACTGTTTTTTTCAGGGTCTATGAGAAAAATACTGAAACAGATAATAATTTTCAAATAAATTTACCTGCAGAGGCATTTCTACTCATGGTAGATAGGAACACAATATTACTTTCCTGCATCTCATCAAATAATTTTTCTCTTTTAAAAGGACTTTAGGGAATTCCACTATCGTTATGATTTACATCAGGCAGCTCTGCGGTCAAAGCAGGTACCAAGAGTACTTTCTTATCTAGAGAAGTAGCACCAGTGTTTAAAAACTGCTCAGCAGCTGATTAACCAGCTACTGAAACAGTGTTGGTGCTCTCCAATGGATAAACAGAGGAAAACTGGCAATAGACAAGAGTATGTGGCATCAGGGGATGTGTGGGGGAGGAGGGGATGGAAGATTCTACCTTGATCGATGGGTTTGTTGAACAAAGAGCACTGTGGTGTGGGACCAAGTAAAATGTGCTTTCCAAAATGCTTGCGGCTTGCAGGGGTCTGTGCAGTAGGGTGGCAGTCTCGGTGTGTTGATGTTTGTTTCACATCCAACATTTACAGGGAAAGCTGTGACTTTCTGGAGGAGAAGGTGAGACAATGCAGTGCTGCTCAAGTCTGCATTTCACCTTCACTTGCCCCTTGCAAGGCAAGGAAAAACTAATGTTTTGCTGGTGTTATCTTCAAGGGATGGCTCTGTGAGCTGTTACGTTGGAAAGAAGATCCCTCACCAGAGAACAGGACCCTCTGGGAGAATCTCTCCATGATCCGAAGGTTCCTCAGTCTTCCTCAGCCTGAACGCGATGCCATTTATGAACAAGAAAGCAATGCAGTTCATCACCATGGTGACAGGCCTTCCCACATTATCCATGTGCCAGCAGAACAGATTCAGGTTAGTTTACCTTGGCCAATCCAGCAGAGCAATAAGTAAATAATGCTTTAAACATAGCAAAGGAAATTAGTGTTTCTTTCCTCCTGGCCAGGCTAACTACAGGTCTCCTTGTAAGTGATAACAGCATACTGCTGTCTGCCACTTGAATTAAAAGATGAGTTGGTGACCACACAGACTTTTTCTTTCAGTTTGGGTTTTTCCAAGCTTGTGTGACAAAGCAGCTTGGGTATAGCCGTGTGTGGACAGAACAAGCCTCCTGTGTTAGGTGTGCCTCTGCTAGGTGGGCCTCATGACCACAAGAGAGGGATGCTCAGAGCTCAGCTCAGCAGGAGGAGGTTATTGAGCTGCTGATGAAAACTTGGCTTAGCATTCAGCAGCTGATCACCCCAGGTTGGAGTCAGGGAAGGGGACTTGGTTCCTCAGCCTGTTTTAACCCCAGCTGAACCTGGGATGAGTCAATGTTTGTTTGTTTTTCCTTCAGAGCCCCTCTCCCACCACCCTTGGGAAAGGAGAGCATAGAGGCGCTTTCTTACCAGGCCTGGTGACCGCTGGACCTTGGCTGGGTGCTGCTCCGCAGGTGAGCTGGCACGAGGGCAATGTGCCAGGGAGAGAACTGAGGGCTTGCAGGACCCATACACTCAGCCTGGAGAAGCCAAGCCCTTGGCTCGCCCAGGCACCGTGGGACTGGGAGCTCAGACAGCCATCTGCTAACTATTGTAGGTCAAACCTGGAACAGCTTGCCCAGAGAAGCTAGGGATGCCCCATCCCTGGAGGTATTCAAGGCCAGGTTAGATGCCCTAGGCAGCCTGGTCTAGTATGTGGCAACCCTGTCTACAACAGAGGATTTGGAACTGGATGGCTTTTAAGGTCCTTTCCAAACCCAAGCCATGCTGTAATTGTATGATCTGCAGCTCTCTGAGTTGAAGGCTCTTTAATCCCTTCTCATGAAGACCTGAGGTCAGCTTTTTAGCTGCTCCCTGTTACAGGGCAGATATTGCCCCTGTTTTTCAGAGTTCTCAACCTCAGCTGAGACCTTGATATACTATTTGTATCGCCTGTGCAGAAAAATACTTACAGAACTAGGGAGGATAAAGTTATCTCACAGGCAGAAACAACACAAGTGTATATTAAAGATAAAGCAAACTGGATAAGACAATCCCTTAGGATATCAAGTACTAACATAATCGTGAAAGCCTGGAAACTTGCTTTTTGATTTAGCAAAAAGAGAGAAAGATCTATATTAAGTAATAAAACAGCATTTGTTTGGAAATGTACATTGTTTTTAATAAAATGGCTTATTAAAGGGCTAAAAGGAGAAGCTTATGCACAGTATAAATACTGTATCACTATGCTACTTACCTAGATTTTCCTGCCTTATTGATAAAAGTTTTGTGTTTGATCTCACAAATATTATTCCATAAGCAATTGCACTGTAATCTCTTAATGTGACTTGTAAGTGAAAGGGTTGGGGGACTGGGCCTGAGTCTTTTCTGTTTTCTACTGCACTCTAATTGTTGAAGATGCATAAATATGTAGCTAAGACACAAGTTTTCAAACTGTGTATACAAACCCTCCAGTCTTGTAAGAATTTAACGTGCTGGGAGTAGTCTTGAATCAATCTGGGTTTGAAGCTTTGAATGGGGCTGCTCACAGACCATAAAAACATGAAAGAATGTGAATAAGGATGAGACAAGAGCCCAGATTCCATCAATGTTTGTGTCACACAATAACAAGATCTCTTCAAACAGAGACTGCTGATATAGGTGTTGAGACCTACACGAAGTCTCCACAAGCACGAGCAGCACTGCAAAATGAAACTTCCAATCTGACACACAAAAAATTGTCGAGGGAAGAGTCACAAAGGGAAATGAAAAGTGGTGATAGCAACTGCTTGTTTTGCCGCTGTTGTTTATTAATAATAACTAGTGGTTTGTACCATATGACAAGAAATTTGCTGACCCAAAATATCTACTAAGCAGTGCTTCCTGTGCTGCAGAGCTAAAGAATTGTCAACTAAAACAGTAGCTGATAAATTTACTTTTGATTTTAAACATGATCTTATAATGTACTATACTCCAGCAGTGGATGAGAAAAACATTTCTGTCTCTAGGGCTCAGTGCCTCACCTTTTAAGAATGTTTCTGAATCCATGCTTGCAAAACTTCATTTTAAGCTGTTGTTAATTATTTACATCATGATTTGCTTTATCTTATTCTTCTGATGTGCATACTGGCTCATTTTTATTGCTTCAGTTTTTGGAATGCAGCATGTTCCCTTCTAATAATAATAGTGCAACTTATTTAAAGCTTTGCATCTTAGTGCTTTATAAATATTAACCAAATAATCCCCAGCACAAACACTGCAGTAGGTAAACATATTTGTTCCCTGTTTGTATGTCGGGATCCTTGAATGTAAGCAAGACAGACCCTCTCCGTGTCCACAGGCAAGATGGACCAGTGCCAGCCTGGGAAATAACGAGTTGCTGTCTCCTGATCTCTTTGTCCTTGTGAAGACTGGGTTTGGCAGAGTGGTTTTAAGCACTTCCAGCTCTCACAGTCTGTAGTAGTGCTTGCAAGTTTGGGGAGGCTTCAGCAGCTGCTCAGCTCAGTTTGGTGGTGGGATATTTCCACACTTAGCTATAAAGCTCCTCCCTTGATCTCTCCTGTCCCTCACCCTAGCCATTGCTAGAGATTTGCAGCCCTTGCTTTTGGGCAGCAGCTGCTGTTGCTGGCAGAGCTCCTGTGTGTTTGCCCTCATCTGGCACTTTTCTCACTTTGCCCTTGCTACAGTTCTGACTAAGCTGGTCAAGTTAATCCTACACTATGTCACCTACTTAGCATTTTGTCTTGTCTGCACTTGACTCGTGAAGCACGTTCATTAAAGTGTGTCAGCTTAACTATACCAATGACACTTCATCAGCGTTTCCAGCCAGACAAAGCCAGGGTGCCACAGCTCTGCCCGCATCCTGACAGTCTTTTATCCCAGTCTCTGCTTACACACATGCAGATACATGCAAGGTATGCAGAGGGTTACTAATTCTCATTTATTTGGGGTTCACCATACTATCATCAGTAATGAGCCCTTTGTTTTGTTCTCCTTCACCTTACCAAGCAGTTGCCTATAGCTTTGCAATTGTTCCCCTGGATTTTCATGGTAACACAAAATGCTACCAAGAATATGTGTACAAAAAAAATTAATTTTGTGCTTTGTCTTGCAGCAGCAACAGCAGCAGCAGCAACAGCAACAACAGCAGCAACAGCAACAGCAACCGGGTCCCAGACTCCCCCCAAGGCAACCGACAGTAGCATCACCAGCTGAATCTGAGGATGAAAATCGTCAGAAACCCCGGCCACGAACAAAGATTTCTGTTGAAGCCCTAGGGATCCTACAGAGTTTCATACAAGACGTGGGCCTGTATCCTGATGAAGAAGCAATCCAGACTCTCTCTGCTCAGCTTGACCTGCCCAAGTACACCATCATCAAGTTCTTTCAGAACCAGCGGTATTATCTCAAACACCATGGAAAGCTGAAGGACAATTCTGGGCTGGAGGTAGATGTTGCAGAATACAAGGAGGAAGAGTTGCTCAAGGATTTAGAAGACAGCATCCAAGACAAAAATGCGAACACGCTTTTTTCAGTTAAACTAGAAGAAGAGTTATCGGTAGAAGGGAACACAGAGATTAATGCTGAATTGAAAGACTGATCTAAAAGTATTATTTTCTTTCAACAGTGCCACTGGTATTTACTAATGAAATGAAAAATTCCATCTTGCGTTCTGTCAAAAACCTTTATTATTCATTGTTTGGCCAATGAATCTTCCAAAACTTGCACAAAAGTTGAAAAAAGGATAATGCAGACTGCACTAGATGTTTTACTCTGTTTTACAAACTGCTTCGCGGCAACGGATGAAGCGTTGAGGATTGTTTGATATTAATTTGTGTTCACTGGATACACTGTGAGTGTACCCAATAAGCATGATACCAGTGATTTTGATTCTGGAGCCTTCAGACAAGCATTACAACTTTTGTGATTTACTGTTTTTTGTTTTCATTATGTTCTTGTTTTTAATTATTACTGTAGCACTCCACACTTGATCTTTGGAAACTCACATTTATTTAAAAAAAATAAAATAAAAAGAGTTTGTTACTCTTGTTCTATTGTATGTTACAAAAGAACTATAGACTGTGGAATGCAGTTTAAAGATAACATATGCCAACAAATGCCTTGTATTATATGGCACTGCCGTAATTCAGATTTGTTTTCTTTTGGAAATAAAGGTCACTGTATTTTTTTTTTCCATTCTCATTGTTACATGGTTTTAAAGAAAATGAAAAAGAAAATGTGAAACACAATTTAGTCCTCATTATTTATTTGTAGATCCTGCAGCATCATGTTGTAATTAATTTTTTTGGAAGTTTCCGTTAAATGTAATATTGCTTCTCTTGTTATCATACTGATTTTTTTTTTCTATTTATAAATGTATTTTGATGGGCAGTAAAACAAAGTGTCTTAAAAGTTTTAAATAGAGAAAATGTGCTTTACACAGTTGCCTATAAAAAGTGCTCTATGTTATCCAAGCAATTCATACTATAAGCTTCACTCTTATTGTTGTATGCAATTTTTACTATCATGCAAATAAGCTTAGGTAAATAAAACTAATAGATCACCTTAGAAACTTATGCAATTAATGTGAAAATAATTGATGTTTGCAATGTGTCTTCCTTTGGTTTACAATCAATTTTAAAGCTACAGCTGTATAAATTTTCTGTATAAAGGTGTATTTCTTTTTTATGAGTTTATTGCTATGAAAACACCAGTTATTTTGTTACAGCTGGCTGTTTTTATAAGTGTATCACAATTTTCTTTATGCAGAAATGTTCTGACTAGGAGTGGTTATTGACTGTAACTACACAATTAAAATTGTTTGTATGGTATGATACGGCAGGGTTTGTCTGCGTATGTGTATGACTGTGAGGAATATAGCTTGTTCTTAGTACACACTGTACCTTCTTGTCACTACTTTGAAGATGACATTTCAATTGTTCTCCTTTAAAATCATGAGCAGATTTTTTTTAATGACCTTCTTAATACTTGAATATAGATAACATACTTCAAAAAGAAATACAGTTTGGTTATGAAAATCATAACCTGTCTTCTGTAGGTTTAAAAACTTGCCTGCCCAACAGAGATAGCAGGATATTATTGAGTCAAAAGGCTATCAGGCATAAACATATTTACAGTTCCTGGCAGTAATGCACTTATAATGGATACAGCTGGTTTTCTTTTACACTAGAATTATGCTAACACTATTCCTTGCACTAATGTATAAACATTAAAAAAAAAATCATTAATAGTCACAAAGTACGTAGGAAAGATGGGCTTTGCACATTGCAGTGCCCTTCTAAGCGAGATTATTTTAAACAATCACTAATAACGTTCTTGATTAAGGCATCACGACTGGTGAGCTTTGAATGTATGCAAAGTCAGAGAAGTCTGCAGCTGAAAGTTGGAGTTATGCACATGCTGTTGTTCTCCATTCCTAGGGGAGGAAATGCTATGTTCAGTGACATGGTCACTGGATCCAGGTGTGCTGTGGCACACGCTGTGGAAGCAGAGCTGACTTGTGGGACAGTGCCACCAGCATCCTAAGGGTGTCTGAAGAGCCAAGCACCACTCCCCAAAGGGCTGCTTGACATGGGAAAATAAAAGTGAAATCACTTTTAAACTGATGCATGTACATATCCAGGGTAGAAGGGAAAGAAAACACTTTCCTGGAGTATGCTCCTCTTCACGCTAAAAGCTAATACACACAGCATTCCTACTAGCAGAAATGAGGCAACAAATCCAATATTCTATAAAAGCGTAAGAAGAAATATTTACAAAATTTTCTTTCCTATTTTGAAAGCAATTTCTTTTTATCCTTTTAAGTTTTATGGGTGCTGAAGTAGAGGCCATGATTATTATAGCTGTTTCTTTTCCATTATCTTTGCTTTTACTTGTCCTAGCCTAACTGAGGTTACCTTCCAAGTCAACTGACCTGTGAAGTCATATATTACCTCCATAGGGGTTTGGATCCTGGTAGGTGGGTAGAAAGCATGCTTTTATCTTGGCCTGAGTGACCAAAAGCATCTTTGTTAAATCTTTAGCAGTATCTTCAAAGGTGATGCAGATATTAAGGATGCTGTTATGCGGATGCAGGAGGTTTATGCTGTTAGGAGTTAAGCTACTACAAGCATATGTCACCTTGACTCATGGACTGGAGAGACTACCTCAAAAATACCTTATGTCCTTTTCTGTTCCTTTTTCTCACCATCTGGCATAATCCTGTCAACAAACTTTTAATTTCTGCAGAGATTAAGAAATCAGCCTTGATTTCTGAAACAAAGAAATTTCTTTATAAATGCAACATGAACTGAGAGCTGAAAAGACAATTTATTGGGAAGTGAGTAAAGCTCACTGCTGAGTAGGACTTTGTCAGGAGTATATGAAAAGAGTATTCTGTATGGACATAGGGAAGTGTAAGGAAATAACAGTGCTTACTAAGAATAAAATTTAAGCTGTGAATAAAGCCAAATGCCTAAAAAGGAGGAACCTGAGTGCTGAGCAGGGCTCACAGGGCTTAGCTTTTACTGTAAAACTGAAGTATTGACAATGTTTTGTGGTTTTACCACAAAAAGTGGAGTATTTTTACTCCCCATTGATTCTTATTAATCTATATTTAAGTGACAAGATTCATGCAGATATGCTGGAGTCTCCAATGAGTGTTTTTCAAGTCAGAAATAAAACAGAGAGGGTCCAGATTCCAAGAGGGCCATGGCTTGAGGGCATTCAGATGCCCCAGGCATGGGCACAACAGTTGTTTGTCATTGTGAAGTGACAAACTTCACAACGTCCTCCACTACGGGATTCCTTGAGCTCTGTTTTGCAAAACTACGTTAAATTGGTCAGACGATGTAATGTCCAGGTTTTAAAGGAAATTATTTAAAAGGTTAAAAATGATTTAAAAGGATAAAATGTTTCAGCAAGTGGAGGAGGATGGTTCCCTTCCGTATAGTTTCAGTGATTTTCTGATTGAGTGCTTAGGTGCTGGGAAAACACCAAACCTTACTGCTCAGTCCATTTGCCAATGCAAATGCCCCATACGTTGACAGCAGTGTAGATTAAATACCGCATAAGTCTACTTGAGCATCAAGTATTAGCAATTCTGCTTAGTGTCAACTGTGTGTTTTTATGTCAGATACATTGCAGAGACCAAAGGTTTTTTGATTTTTACATAATGATTTATATTGTGCTTTGAATAACAGTCCCGTGGCAAAGCAGGGATATAAATACGCTCCCAGGCCTTTTTTGTGCACAGATGTAATTTTAGTTTGGTCTCCACACAGTGCCTTGCGTCCACGCAGTCTTTTACTACAACAAATGAGCTAATAATTCAAACTGCAATAAGCGATCCTCCTTGGAGCAGGAGCAGTGCTACTTGGCAGCGAGTTCGTTTGCTCTCAGGTTCACATAGGAGCCTTCCTGCCCTCCCCTGCTGGCAGCCCTCCTACATCCCACACACATTGTTCTGCACCAGCCTTGCCCCAGCATCTTTTTCTGCCCTGGGCCATCCCACCCAGGTGTCACCTGTTTACACACAAGCACTCAGGTCTTTGTGTCACAGCTTACCATAAGGTAGCAAGGACTGCGTGTTTCTGATGTCACCCACTCCTTGGATAGCCATGCATGTCCTGATCCAGTGGGTGGCAACTCTGCACAAGACAGAGGAATTGGGACAATTTTTAATGTGCTTTCCAACCAAAGCCATTCTATGATTCTGTGATTCCATGACCATCATCCACGCTATGAGCCACATGACTTTGCTGGAACAGTCCACTGTTCTCAGAAAGCTGGTTCTGCTTTGAGCAAAGGCAGACCAGTAGTTTCTAGGGTACTGAAGTAAAGGGAGTAAGAAGGATAGATGTCCAAGACAGAAACAGGAAAAGGAAGTGGAAGGTAACAGAGGACAATGGGAGCATCAGCAAAGTAATAATAGCTTCACTTGCATGAAACAACAGATTTTGTTGCAGTCCATAATAGAGGGTCACCCAGGAATGCTATACTGTACTACCAAGACTCTGTTGAAAAAGTTCTTGAACAGAAATATACCATGGTCTCTAACCAGAGAGCTGGGATAACACAAAAATCTCCTCAGCTGTCCACAGTAAAAGAGGACCCCTAAAAGTATGTGCTCTGGTGTCATCCCTCTATGCAGGACATGAAGGTTTCCATCTTCAGCTGCAGGCTGACAGCAACCATGACAGATGTAGTTAGGACTCTTGTTTACTGGTCAGTTTCTTACTCCCATAATATGCTAAAGCAACACCTAGGCTGTAAAACATTCTCGTTTTCCTGCAGGACACCATGCAACCACAAGCAGCTTCAACTCCTCCTTGAACTAGGCATACTATAAGAGTTGAAAAAATCAGACATGCTGTATGGCCTGGATTTTTATCACAGAGAAAGAGAACAGAAATATATATGTATATATATATATATGTTAATTCTGTTAGCACACAGAGCTACATACGCATGCACAGTTTTTAGGTAAAGTTTTTGGGTGAATAGGTTGTTCCCTCAAGAGGCTTCAAATGCTATTGGTATCTTAAGGGATCATTTGCAATGATTTGAAAGTGATGGGACCACAAAAATTCACACAGAATGCTCCTGATTTTGAAGCAGACTTTCTCCTACAATAGAGTTTAAGGCAAAGAACACTCTGTTTTTTACTTATGTTACAAAATAAGCAGCATTCACAAGGCCAGCCTTATGGGTGATGCTACCCTTCTTGCACATCCTTTCTTACCCCATCTCAAAGGGGCACTTAGTATGCACCAAAATTTCTTCTCTCTCCTTTCTTCTGCCACATTCCCAGGCAACATTTTTACATGGGGAAAGCGGTTTAGAAAACCCCTTACCTTAGAGCAAACTCCAGGAGGGAAAAGTAGGCGAGGATGTCCTTTCAAAAGTGCAGGAAAAGTAATTCTTTATCATTATCATCATGACAGCTTGGATTGGGAAATAAGTACAGGTGTTTCTGCTGGCTTGCCTTCGTGGGCAAAATGCTTTATCCCCTGACTAACACGGATTCAGTATCAGCTGAGAGACTGAAGGAGATTGAAAAGGAGGAGGAGTGGGGCCAGTCATGAAACCCAGTGGGGCCAGTCATGCTTAGTGATGACTGGAGAATTGCACTACTTTAACCTGAAGGAGATCTGAGTTAGACGTTAGGAAAAATGAAGTGAGGAGCACTCACGGTTCAGGATGTAGGTACAGAAATAAC